GCCCTCCTCGGGGAGAGAGCTCGAGGCCGCGGCTGCCGTTCTGGTCTGCGATCAGAATGTGCTGACTCGACGCTGCGCCCCCAAGGCTCTCTATAGTCGCGATGGCGGCATCCACAGAGTCGCACTCGAGCGCGACTCGCAGGAGGAGATGAATCGGTAGGAGCGACGTCGAGATCGGCCGCGCGCGAATGGCGTTCAAGCACACGCCTACCGACGCGGAGTTGAATCCGATCTTCCCAACGATCCCTGGCTGCCGTATCAATCTTACACTCAGTATCTACAGGGTACATCGTTTGAGTAGGATGCGGAGGGAGGCGTACCTCAATGACCATCCAGATCTGGGGCTTCCCTGGGGTCGTGATGGACGCGAGGGCAAGGTTCTTGCCAACTCCCTCGCGCCAATCCCAGTTCTGCGCGAGGATCTGCTTGGTGGCACCTGGGGCGCGGATCTTCCAAGCGAGGCTCGTACACCCGTCGTCCCATTGCCCCAGCGCGATCTCGCTTCGGGCGTTCAGCGCCACGATGTCGAGCACGTCGATGTCGGGATACCCGGCAGAGTTTACGCCCTGTGCGATACCGCGCATCTCTTCAAGGAGATGGGGTGTGAGGGTGCCGATGCTGTCCTGAAACTCTGCAGCAACGCCACGGACGGTATCCCAGTTGAACTTGCATGCCTCTTGAAAGAGCTCGCGGTAAATGCTTATCTGGTCGATGATTTGAGGGGCGAGGAGACGGCCGTGTTGCAGCCCTATCTGTGAAATGAATGCGTGCCGATGAACATATGAGTTGTTTTGAAGAAAATTTCATGTCGAGCCTACCTCGTGCGGGGCACCGGTGAGTTCGACCTTGGGTACTTGATATGCGACTTTGCCCATGCTGTATGTCCGTACCGAGTTTGGTGGGACTAGTCTATCGCAGTGGTCTGCGGAAGCTATCATATGGGGCCCCATTTTAGCGTGTCAACTTACTTGTGCACGGTCAGGTGGGCTTTGTACAGTAAGCTCCCTGATAGGCAATGTGCCATATAATCGATCACTAGTCTCGTGAGCCTTGTACGCGCGTGATTGGAGGCTGAATCGATGTCTTCAGCTTGGATGGTTTCTCTTACCTGTCCTGTAGATGATTGTAATCAATGTGTGCCTCAAGGCGAGTCGCAGTACTCTTGCAATAGGGATGTACATGGTCCGATCTAAGTCGTAGCACCTATACCTTTACCTTTCGACAAGAGCGAAGACATTCAAGGCCATATGAAGAGATATGGCACGCGCATCGCATACTTAATGCGTCTCGCCACCGCTGCAGGAGACAGCTGCCATCGGCACAATATCCCCCAAGGATGAGGCCTAGGGTCTGTTGGCGAAACGCATCATATGAGTATTCCGTGAGGCCCCGAGAGCGTACTTAATCCACTCACGTCTTCGTTCCTTCGCTGTGGGGTGCTCGTTGCGACGAGTTTGTGCACGCAGACGATCATGCTCGTAAGGACCACTGGACCCTGTCAGTATAGGAACGGGGCTATCTTCCGAAATGGAATGACGTTCCAACGCGCGATCACGGGCTGCCAATGATCCTGTGTAATCGTTAGTATCGCCACTGTACTTATACGATAAGAGAGGCGTACTCGAGCAGCGCGTGGCATTCAGCGAGCATATCCATGGGATTCGGCAAGTTGGCTTCATCGAGATGTTCTTGGAGGTCATGCGAGAAGTCGACAAGTGGATTCTTGAACACTCCTTGATCCGGGTACCCAAATATGTTCATGCCTGCCAACGCATCCGTGGTGAGAAGATATTCTTCCGACCGTGTTGCATTGGAGTCCTTGCTGTATTAGTCAGAGCAGTCTGAGTATGATTCAGATACTGTTGCTTCTACATCGGAGTCGGAGTCGTCGGCGCATTGCTCGTCTTGCGAGCTGGCGCTCTCGCTGCTTTCACGCTCCGTGTCCTGTCTGAGCACGAGCTGTGAGCAGGTGAGCCCGTGCGGGATCATAGCTAAATCACAGTAGCTCGCACCTTATTCTTCCTGCTTCCGCAGCCGTGCGTGTTGCCTTCTGTGATCAGTGCCACGACAACTTGTTACTGGTGCATGACTCCGCCAAGAGGTCCTTTCACGCACTTCCGACGCCGCCCGGGATTCTTTGCCGCACAATGTCAGCAAGTCGTTCATGACGGTTACTTACAAGATTAGTATGAAGTGCTACAACACTACAACAGACTACAACAGACTTTAAACGGATGGTAAGTAGCGATTGATCCGACATATCCCCGAGAGCACCGCTTTCATGTTGAACCTTATTTTGGTTTCACTCAGACCTCCCTCGGCAGAAACTTGCCAAGCCCCGCACGAATCCTTGCACCGGTTGATCAGCAGCGCGGAAGCTCTTTTACGGCAAATGCGTGGGCGATGGCGAATCCTGAGCAGCTCCACGTCAGTCTGGTGAACGCACCTGGCCGTTGCTTGGCAAATATGACTAGGGCCACATCACCCACTGGCATTTGCGCGCTGAGGTACGGTACATATATATGTGTTCATCGCACAGGATTAACTCACCCCCTTCATAACTACAACAGCATCACCTTCATACCAGTCTTCTAGCAGTCCGGCTGCGATGAACATCGAGCTTTCGAAGGTCTCGTCGCCCATCGCTAACCATGACCGACTCTCGGCGGCACCGCCAGTATTAGGCGACACCAGTCTGAAGATACAGGCGGCAGATATCGAGACAGTACCCAGGGATGTCGATGACCCTCAGAACAATTCTGCGCCTCGTACGGCCGTATCAGCATCCACCCCCGCGTCTCGTCGTCTGGCTAGGTTCCAATTTGCCACGCTATGCTGGACTCTCTTCCTCGCTGGATGGAACGACGGGACGACGGGCCCGCTCCTGCCTCGGATGCAGGCGGTGTATCATGTATGCCGTTTTGAGTAAATGATAAAGTGCTCACTAATATGGACCCCTAAATCGCTTGCAGGTCGGGTTCACGCTGGTGTCACTCATTTTCGTTTTCAACTGCCTCGTAAGTAGCCCATGTGGACCTTTCTCGAGCTGCGCCGCGTCGTACGTGCTTCTGAAAACTGCTCTTCAGGGTTTCGTCATCGGCGCGGGCGCGAATGTGTGGCTCACCGATCGTTTTGGTTTCGGAAAGGTTTGCCCTGATTATAATGCTCTCGTATAGCATACACTGAGCTTGAGCTTGCCAATATAGGTTATGATTATTGGTAGGCGTATCTGCTCAACTCCTGTACATCCACTTGTCCTGACGCGTGCGCGACAGGGGCCGTTGCGCAGATCATCGGGTATGCGCTTGAGGCCCCAGCACCGCCTTTCCCCGTCTTCGTCGCTGGGTACTTCGTCAACGGCTTTGGAATTGCGCTCCAGGTAATATATATCTACACCACTCAGACAACTGAACACCGACGCAGATATTGCATTGTCAGGATGCTGGCGCGAACGGGTACGTTGCATCTCTGAAAGAGAACACGTCCACAAAAATGGGTGTCCTACATGCGATCTACGGTATGCCACCACTGCGCTCTTTCGCTTTGCCAGGCTATTCCTGACCCGGGTACAACTCCCACATGTAGGCGTTGGCGCGTTCGCTGCGCCCCTCGTCTCGACCCAGTTTGCAGAATTCCATCACTGGTCCTTCCACTACCTCATCTCGCTCGGTATCGCGCTGTCAAACTCGGTCCTCCTCATCGCCGTCCTCCGCTTCAAGGACCAGGACAGTAAGCCTTACGGTTTCTCTTGATGTTGCGCATGTACCTTACGCAATATGCCGTTTTGCAGCATGCCTCGCCGAGATCGGGCAAGCGCCGGTGCATAACGACACAGAGGGGTCGGGCGGAAGCAAATACAAGCAGATCTTCCGACTCCGCGCGCTTCATCTCATCGCATTCTTCATCCTCATCTACGTCGGTGTTGAGGTCACTCTGGGTGGTGTGTTGCCTCTTTTTTCACCACCGTGCTGATGAGGCTGATTCAAAGGTCGGCAGGTTGGATTGTCACGTACGTGAAAGACCTGCGTGGCGGTGGTGCAAAGTCCGGATACATCGCGTCGGGTTTCTTCGGCGGTAAGATCTTATTTCCGTGCGATCGAGATCATCGAGCATAACTAGGCTCTCGCATCCAGGTCTTACAGTCGGCCGTGTTGGGCTACTATGGGTGAACCATAAAGTATGCCGCCAATACCCCCATCTGCGATACACATCCGGATGACATAACCCTCCCCTTCTCTTACCTACTAGGTCGGCGAACGTCGCGCCGTATTCCTATACGCTGTCCTCGCAGTAGCGTACGTCTCTCACTCGCCCCTCTTCCACTCATACAGACTAACAGCTTCCTTCCCTTGCATCTAACAGCCTCGAGCTCGTCGTGTGGCTCGTCCCCTCCCTCATCGGCGGCGGCATCGCCGTCTCCTTCGTCGGCGTCCTCCTCGGGCCCATCTACCCCATAGTCATCAACCACGCCGCGCGCGTCCTCCCGCCGTGGCTGCTCACCGGCTGCATCGGGTGGATCGCCGGCTTTGGCCAGGCCGGCTCCGCGTTCCTGCCATTCGTCACTGGCGCCGTCGCGGGCAAGGTCGGTATCAAGGGCCTACAGCCCCTGTGAGTGCTATTCATTCCCAAATGTTCGGATGGAAAGCAGAGTGCTGATGGAGGGTCATGCGTATTTGACAGCCTCGTGTCGATGATGGGGCTGATGATTGGACTGTGGGCTTTTGTCCCGGGGGCGCCACACCGTGTAGACTAAGCATAATCAAGTGGGAATGCGTATAATTCAACGGACTAGTCAGTGTCTCGTGAAAGCTGGTATAATGATGTTGCTGTGAATACTATATCCATGCCTCTCGTTGCCCTCACTCAAGCCAAATACATGAGCGCGCTATAGACAAATTTCGGCAAGAAATACAGTCATTCTTTAGTCGTATATATTCTGCCCCATACTCCAAAAGTGCGTGAAACATATCGGCCGGTCGACCTGGGGGCGTAGAAAAATGTGGACGCACTGGGAATTGAACCCAGCACCCCCCGCAAACGTACACTGCTGTGTGCTAAGCGGATGTGATAACCAACTACACCATGCGCCCTTGTATGTCTGTCATGCATGCAAGAGTATATACTTTCGAGCATGTAGCCGTTGCACGTTCCTACGTACTTTGTACCATCAGGATCAGTGGAAGCGCCCAAAAGTACAAATGCGCTTTCCAGCTGTTCTGAGATTGGCAGGTCCCGGTAGAAAATTATACACAGACTCGTTCAAGCCCAGACGTGGCCGCGATGCTTCGCGTTAATAGTCGGGCAGGTAGCGGGAGTGTAGCGGGCAGCGCGAAGAGCTAGTACGCGCCCCAGTCGGCATGCAGTGCATCCGCATTCTCTCCGCCCGCGTGATCGCGCAATTATACGGTACGCGTTTATATTTTGCACTCGTCCAAACGCCCTCCTCCGCGCTCGACCTCTTCCCGTTCTCGCGCTCTCGATTATCTACAAGTTCACGCGAAACATCGTCGCCACTGCGTCTGGGCGTGAACACCCTTTGTGTATCACTGCGTAAAGCAGAGAATGATCCGCGACCATTGCCCTCGAGTAATCTCAAATAATAGGAATAGCCCCACAGATACGTCGAATAGCTCGAGAATGACCAGAGTGTCGCTCAGAACAACGAATTTGGGGTTATCCCGAATAGCCGCCTGCATTTCCCACCGGTAATCTGAGATTACCTTTGGCGCTACCTCATGTATCCCAGCGTATCCCGTGCATGAACGTTTCCTGGGTGTGCAACGGGGCGTGATCCTCTTATTTCTCTGAGTAACCTCGTTGCGCCAAGTGTCCTCTGGGGTTGCGTTCGGCAGGGAGTGCTTTCATCCGCCCACAAGGAGCTCACCAAGATGTATAAAGGTGCAGGCAATGTAGCGATCAAGTCCCAGTACGTGCCCACTTCGCCCCCGATGTCCAGCCGCCCTCATCCCTTGATGGTATACAAGCGAACCTACCTGCTACGCCCACGCGACCTTCTTGCGCCCTCTCCGCCTCCTCATGAGCCCACCGCACCCGCAGAACTGTTCACCGCCGCGCTTCTCGAGGCCGACTCTCTGACCCCAATGATTTAGGTGAATGAGTGGATGCTTATATTGCTTATAGAAAAGCGACACCCCGTCAGTTGTATATATGAGTACAAAAAGTTCACGATTACCACTTATATAGGGAGGGGGGGTTTTCCTGATGACAAAGCTGTACTTCGTGCTCAAACCGCGACCAGCCACTCCCACTGCTCCCTGTTGCTTTGTAGTCATTATGTCTGATTGTCTACGTGCTGTACCTGCTTTCCCAATTGTACATGTATTGCTGCGAACGCGCTATTGCGTGGGCGGCCGTCCGCTCAGTAATATAAGCGCCCAAAACGTCACGAGATTGCTGTAGTAAAGTAAACCTGCGTGGTGCTTAACATTTCCCAAAGATGATCGATGACCGGGCGGCTGCGTCGAATAGCCCACAGGTTTGACGCGGGATATTGTCCATTCCGCGCGGCATAATACGAGGGTTTACGCGAGATTCCAAGACTATCCCCGAGGGATTTTCCAAGTGATCCTCGCCGGTCACCCGGCGGATACGGGACGTACTCACCCGGGGTTATTGGGTGGTGCAACGGGACACATTTAGGAATGACCAGCGTGGAACATCTGGCATGACGCACGCTGGTTATTCCACAAGCAATTCATGATATCCGCGGCAATAACACGCGTTGGCTTTTCTCCGGTTTACGCAGTGTATGTATTTCGAGTCGCTGGGGCCAGGCCGTAAGTATATTGGCAATGGCTGCATTGATGATGGCGACGGAACGGCCAGGACAGGGACGAACAACCTCATGTACCACGGCTGTGTATAGTTCTCAGATCAGCAGACTCGACATGACAGACAGCAGATAGGCTCATGCTTCTTGCGGCGAAGAGGTGTAAATAAGCGCGACCCGCGTTGGAAGTGGATTTACCCTGGTGGGTTTCACTCAAGACGCTTGTTCACCGACCTTCACCGCCTTGCACACCCGTGTGCACATTTCTGTCCATAAAGTGAGTACTTTGAACACCAGGTCGTGGCGACTGGCGGTGCCGAGGCAGGGAGCACGCGGCGTGCACATTGCAGATGACAATAGAATGACTCGGAGGGCATGCCACCAACATCTGACTGCCGCGGTCCACCTTCGCTGTCCATCTGCACAACTCGCTGAATTCAAACACGGCTAGAAGGGCCTGGCGTGCAGGGGAAACGCAGAATGTGTACGGCAGAGCCACTTCGCTGACAGCTCCTATCAATTACAGCCTAACCGTACTGCGCCCGCCTCAACCCCTGTTGGCCCGTTAAAAGGGCAAAGGACTCTCCCGATTCCCCCACAGAGCTTGCCATCTTGTCCTCTATTCCCTCGACGCTCCGGCTCGACGGTGTAGCACCTTCAATTGTGGCGCCATCATCCCGCGCGGAACTCGAAAAAACTCGTGCCAACGCGGTGCCTGCGTCTCGACCGGGCACCGCTTTGCTTGCTTAAGCAGTCGATCGTTTTTGGACTCGATCCAGCCCCTTTCGCTACTATACAAGTGCTAGCCGAACACGGGAGGCCCCCCGCGTCCAACATGAACAAGTCGCCACGCCCCTCTCCGCTCACCCTCAAGCTCGTGCAGCCGCTGTCGGACGATTTGTTCCGCGAACTCGCAGCGTCTGTCAAGGGACCCGCGCTTCGACCGAATGACCCAGAGTAAGTCGCAAAGCAGCTTCAATGCGTAGCTTGCTGAGTCCCGTCTCTTTAGATATGCGGAACGGTCCAGGACGTTCAACGGGAAGCTCAAGTCTCTCTCTCGCGCGGTTGTTTCGCCGCTCGACGCGCAGGACGTTAGCGCCATTGTCAAGTTCTGTGTGCGACATGGCTTCTCGCCGTCTGTCCGCGCGGGCGGGTACGGCATCGCAGGATGGTCGGTCGCCGGGGACATCATCATCGATATGAGCATGATGACCCACATCGGTATCGAGACCCCTCTCACCCCGGCAGCAGGCGACGGTGAGGAGCCCAGCATCGTGGACTGGACACCTATAGGATCACCGCCGCAGCGTACAGATAGACAGCAAGACCTCGTTCTACCTGTCGCTGAGGCCGCGCGCGAACCGACTCAGCAACGAGGTGGTAAGCGCCGCCGAGAAGATCGCTCGCCGTCAGCAGGTCCCGAGGAGAGCGGCTCGTCTGTCAATCGTGGTCCGTACGACAACGCGTCTCATGGACTGGCCGCATTCCTGCGGGGGCCACCGCTACCGCATGAACCTGGCGAGTCTCCTCGCGAGCCCCCTACGAATCGCCCGCGCCATCACTCCCCCGAAACCGAGCCAGGACCCGCGCCGTCGCTCGCTGGGTCACGGCTGGAGATGCCACCGCTCAACGAGAGCACGCGCCAGCTCTCCGGCGGCTCGACATCGTCCGAAGGCAGCTCCATCCCGTCCGCGCTCGGGTTCAACTCCCGTCATTCACAGTCGTCATCGGCCTCCGCGACCACGACGACTGCAGCGTCCCCGTCCGACGAACAGGGCAAGAGCGCATCCACCGAGGCGCGCGAGCCGTTTTCGTACGTCTCGGGAGGCGCGACGCCGCCGCCGCACCCGCCGATGTACGGCCCGCCGCCCTCTGGCCACGGTGGCGCGGGCGGCGTGTCCGCAAGCTTCTCGTCCTTTCAGTGGCCCATACCGCCACCACCTCCTGGCGGGGCGTTTCCTGGTGTCGCCGCTATCTCTCCATTCGGCTTTCCGCCCCTAGGGCTTGGCGCGGGTGGTCCGGGGCTTCCTCCGCCGCTCGCGTTTGGGCTGCCGCCAATTCTGGGCGCGAGCGCAATGCGCGACTCGGCGGCGGCGCAGCTAGGGCCGACGCAGCATTTCAAGCCTGTGCATCCACATGCGTATGTGACGTTTGGCGCGGGGATGAGGCAGAAGGAGATCGATCTGTATTCCTCCGAGCACCAGCTGGAGGGCACGAACACGGTCACTGGGCGCAAGCAGGACTCCACGGTGCCGTACCACATTCCAATGTAAGTTCTCACTCGCACTCCACAGCGTACGGATGGTGTAATGAACGAGATGCCAGGTCCGCGCATCCTGTGGGGTCGTCCATCATGCTGCTCGCCGGGTTTGGCTTCGTCAGCAGGATGTACGGTCTCAGCATAGACAACGTCGTCGAAGTCGAGATGGTTCTCGCGGACGGACGTATCGTGATCGTTAACGCGGCCGAGGACCCAGGTAAGAGTCAGTTATCAACCATGCTGCATTTGCTGATTTGTACTCCCTCAGAGCTGTGGTGGGCTATTCGCGGTGCAGGACCTGCGTTCGGAATTGCTACACGATACAAGGCGCGCGCGTTCCCCATCCCCGTCGTCTTCGCCGGAAACCTAGTCTAGTACGTACGCCGCTGTCTACCTGGGAACGTCACGCTCACTGGTCCTTCTACAGCCGCTTCCACCGCGCGACCGCGCCCTCGCTGATCAAGCACTTCCGCGACTGCATCAAGGGCGCGCCGCGCGAGCTCTACGCGAACGTGCTCCTCACCGCCGGGCCAGCCGACAAGGACTCGCTCGTCGTGATCCAGATGTGCTACAACGGCCCGAAGGAGGACGGCATGCCGTACCTGCAGGCGATCTCGAGCTGGGACGGCGAGCGCTGCCTGCTGAACGAGGTCAACGAGAAGAGCTTCCTGAACCAGCAGGACAGCGTCGCGCAGATCCTGCGCGGGAAAGGTACGCGCGTGCGGAGACCGTCACCGTGGAGAGGCAACAGAACTAACGCGTGCGCCCGTTCGCAGCTGGCCGGCAGTGGTTCCTGCGCTCGAGCCTGATCACGACGCTCCCGGACGAGGTGATCAACCGCACCGTGATGGAGTTCGCAGACACGCCCATCGGGTGCAGTGAGTGTCTCTCTCGCCCGCGTCATTCTAGTCTAGGAGCTGACCCACGGCGCCCCACAGCGTGGATATTCGAGCTCGCAGGTGGCGCCATCGGCGACTTCGAGGACACCTGCCTGCCGAAGGAGCAGCGCGAGGCGACGTGGACCGTCGCGGCGCTGCACC